TTCACTTTTCCGAACAGGAGTCATAGAGCTACATTGATACGAAAAAAATTCGATTTCATGTACTTGCCATGGGAATGTACCGAAAATCTACTTTTTCAAAAATATTGACGATCAGTGCCCAGCCACTAGACAAGATTTCTGCAATCTGGAAGTGGTATCTGCCAGCACTATTCGAGCACTTATTATAACCTATTATGGTTTAACAGCACTGGCGGTGCTGGTGATATGGACCTACCTAAACTTTGTTGCACTGTGATATCGATTTTCATACATTTTTTTTCCAATTTTCGTCGAATTCTTGCTCGTCACTGGTTGAAGCAGGAACTCTGAGAAGCAAGCAGAAATTAGTGGGCATCTAGACCTTTCAATATCAGCCACCAGGTCATCAAAATATTGAAAACTTCATTTCGAATTGACTGTTGGCGTGAAACCTTCGAATATGCAAAAAATCGATTTTCATGGATTTTTCGAAACTTTGAACAATTACTGCTCGTCACCAGTTAGAGCAGGAATTGTGGGGACCGGGCAGAAATTAGAGGGCCTCTAGATCTTTCATTATCAGCCCTTAGATCATGAAAATGTTTAAAATTTAGTTTGGAATTAATTTTTGGGGCAAAACCTTCAAATATGCGAAAAGTCGATTTTCATGGATTTTTTCGAAACTTTGGACAATTACTGCTCGTCACCGGTTGGAGCAGGAATTGTGGGGAGCGGGCAGAAATTAGAGGGCCTCTAGATCTTTCATTATCAGCCCTTAGATCATGAAAATGTTTAAAATTTAGTTTGGAATTAATTTTTGGAGCAAAACCTTTAAATATGCGAAAAATCGATTTTTCCGAAACTTCGGGCAATTACTGCTCGTCACCGGTTACAGCAGAAATTCTGCGGAGCGAGCAGTAATCAGCAGAAATTGCGTAGAACACGAAACCGTTCTCGGATTTAAATTTTGGAACCGGGAGGGGCTGGCGTCACGGAGCTAATATATTTACAATATTTCTTTTATTTTCTCCACACTCTACTTCTTTTAAAAAATTCAGTTACCCTCTGTTTAACAGTATCAGTACTAACATCGAAATCAATTAGATAAGTATCACAAATTGGAATAACATTAGTATCACATCCATCAGTTGCATATGGCGGTTTAATAGGAACAAATTTCTTATAAAAATCGTTATATGTAATAAGCATGTTATTTATGGGCTCAAATTTGGAATAATTATGGTGTCTTATTGGTAGTGATAAGAAATCTATATCTCTTGTCCGATGCCGTGGTGTTCTGATTCTTATTTGGCTGGTTATGTATTTCGACGATGTATGTCCACATAGTACATTATGCACCATCGATATTTGAGCAATCTTTCTTCGTTCATCAAGGGTAATCATTTGTAAATGCATCAATCGAAATTCATATGATGGTAATTTGAATCCGTTTGACCATCTCATTCTGCGCAGTGCAAATAGTAAAAATTGCTTTTGTATGGATTCAAGTCTAGCAATCTTGTCGGCAGTGTATGGGTTCCAAATCTGGGAGCCATATTCTATAATTGGCAGTACAAAGGTGAAGAAGAGTTTCTTAATAGTCCATGGATCCTCAAACTCTCTTCCAAAATGCTTTATCCAAGCCAATCTTGATTTTGCTTTGGCAGTAATGAACTCAATATGTGCAGTGAAGTTCATTTTCTCATCCAGTATAATGCCGAGGTCCTTAATTACTTTGACACGGTTAATCTTCTCATTGTCTATCGTATATTCAAATTCATACTGCAACTGTCCACGGTGATATGATATGCAATTTGATTTCTTGATGTTCAATTTTAGTCGATTGTCCCGGAAATATTTTACAATTTTGTTGAGATCGTTTTGCAGTTCTTGGCAGTCTTCAAAATTTTCAATATGTTTCCATAGTCTGGTGTCATCAGCAAACGACTGTAATATTGATTCGAGTGTGTGATGTGGCAAGTCAATTATAAATAAAATGAACAGTGTTGCGCCAATTGGGTAGCCCTGACCAGTTCCCGAAGTAACGTTGATGGAATTTGACATGACATCATTTAGTTTGACAATCTGCTGCCGTCCATTAAGGTATGATTCAATTCATCCAAGCAATTGTTCGTTCAAGCCCATGATGTTTAGCTTCTGGATAAGCAGCGTAACATTGACAGAATCAAACGCTTTTGCTAAGTCGAGATAAATTGCGTCCGTTTGAATGTGTTTGTCCATCTTCGTTATTACACACGACGTAAATTCGGCCAAATTTGTTATTGTAGACTTTCCTTTCACGAATTCATGCTGGCTATCATCAAGTATTCTTTTAATGTGGAAGTTAAGATGACTTGAAACGATGGAATCCAAAATCTTTGAAATTACACACTACAAAGCAACACCACGATAGTTATCAATTTTTGCTTTGATTCCACTTTTGTGTATTGCCCGTACATAAGATCGCTTCCAAATGTCTGGTACAAAGCCGGTCTTTAATGATTCACTCAATATGTGAGTAATCGGCTTTACCAACGTGTGAATGCATTTTTTGATGAAAATGTTCGGTATTCCGTCTGGCCCAGATACTGTGTTATTTGGAAGGTTGTTTACTGTCTCCAAAATTATGTCGTCAGTGATTTCAATCGTTGGAATATTGATGCATAAATCACGGAGAAGCGATTCACAGTCCTTGTAACTGTCAGTTTGAACATCATTTTGTTTGGTGTACGCTTTTTCAAAATGTTTGGCAAATGTATCGGCAATATCTTGTTGACAGTTCAACTTAACGCCATTATATTCCATTTCACTGGGTAAATCATGAGTTTTTCGGACGCAATTGACATATTCGAAAAATTTCGTTGGATCTTTATCAATTAGCTGCTCCATTTCTTTTTTTTTATTATTATTCTGCACCATACAGCGTTTCTTCGCCAGAGGTGGTTTATTTAGTATAAATAAAAATATTTTGGTATATTTACAATATATAGGGGAGAGTGGGGAATTGTTGACCACGATCTTTGTGGCCAAGATAGAGTGTTCAAAATAATTTTTTTTTCAAAATTTCAAAATGCCAAGTTGTAGTACGTCCTTTAAGCTTTCATTTGGTCTTATTGGTTTGTTAAAATTCAATCCTGTGAAAAAGATATAGCCCTGCTTCCAAAACATGCGATTTTGACAATTTCAAAAATCATGGGGAATTGCTGACCACTTTCAAATTCGATTTATTATGCAAAGTAATGATGAAAAAACTTTATTGAATGAATTTTAAAGACATTTTGGATTGAATCTTAAAGAAAAAATCGAAAAATGGCGACTTTGATCATTCCGATACACAGTTGGGGCATGTGAAATAGCCGCCAGTCATACGAGCGCATTTCAGGTGAACGGGTCGGTCGCACTCGTTGCAATTGATGCTGTTGTTCCGATTCAATTTTTTTGGCAAATCCTTCTTGCATATGATGCAGAAATCAACGTCTTCCACACTTGAAACATCCAAATTCGCTTCATCCAAAATTTTGACGTAGCGCGTCAAGGTATTATGACTGATTCCCATTCGATCAGCCACGGAACGGATTGAATGTTTATTTATTTTCACATCCTTGATGCCTTCCAAAAGAGCGTCAAAATCGATTGATGAGCCTTTATTGGCATAATAACGCGGCATCGGTGTCATAGGCGGCATGATTACTTCAAAATATCAAAAAACCAAAAAAAGTTGAAAAAATAGCACAAATTTTTTTTTAAAATGCCATCAAAATATATTTTGTGGATTATTTGTCGATATTTTGCATCAAAACAACACTATATGTCCATAAAATGCGATTTTGACACGTGCAATGCAAGAAATGCCGTGGTCAGCAATTGCCCACAAAAAGTGGTCAACAATTCCCCATACATATATGTTGAGAAAATGGCGTCGCATAAGCAATGTACATGCATTGACTATGGAAAATTATTTTGCGCGTCGGTAGAGCATTGCCGTACGAGAAAAATTAGAATAATTACCTGGCAAATATCTGCACAAAACTTCTTAAAACAATCACCAACAAAAATAATTAGATTGATTTTTCGATATAAAAATTCACTTGGATAGCGTACACAGCATATAATGCGTCTGATCACGTTGACTACCAATTAGAAATTGAGTTTAGGTTAAAACAAGACGATGACAAGCATCGGATATGTCAAAAGTGTTTGAAACGTCAGAGAAACTGACGTGGTCAGCAATTCCCCATGGTCAACAATTCCCCACTTACCCCTACAATGTTCAATTAAATTCAATTTCTCCAAATTCGGTTTCTCTTAAAATATTCAGCCACTCTTTGTTTTACAGTACTTGTACTTGCGTTGAAATCAATCAAATAAGTATCACAACTTGGAATCATAGTGATATTACATTCATTAGGCAGATTAGGCGGTTTGACAGGAACAAAGTATTTATAAAACTCATTGTATGTACTCAGCATATAATTGATGGGTTCAAACTTGGAATAGTTATTGTGATGAATCGGTAATGCCAAGAAATCTGAGTCTCTTGTCCAATGTCGCGGTGTTCTAAAATTGATTTTGCTCAAAATGTATTTCGATGACGTATGTCCACATATTACATTATGGACGAGTGATATTTGAGCTATTTTTCTCCGTTCTTCGAGTGTAATCATTTGCAATTCAAGCATACGGAGGTTTTCTGAATCTGTGTGGCAACAAAAATTGCTTCCAAATTTGGGATGCGTATTCCACAATCGGCAATACAAAAGTGGAAAAAAATTTCTTTATGGTCCACGGATCATCGAATTCGTATCCAAATCGTTTAATCCATGCTAGACGTGACTTCGCTTTAGCTGTAATATACTCAATGTGTGCATTAAAATTCAATTTATGGTCAAGTATTACTCCTAGATCCTTTATCACGTTAACTCGATCGATTTTTTCGTTGCCAATGGAATATTCGAAGTCAAATTTCAGGATGCCGCGATGAAATGATACAAATTTGGTCTTGGATACATTTAGCTTTAGCTTGTTCCGGTTGAAGTATTCGACAAGCCTATTCAGGTCAGCTTGTAATTCCAGACAATCATCGTAATGTCTGATGTGTTTCCACAGGCGAGTGTCATCAGCGAACGACTGAAGGATTGAGATGCTAACGTGTTTTGGCAAATCAATGATGAACAACAGAAACAATGTTGCACCAATTGGGTATCCTTGTCCAGTTCCCGAAGTGACTTCAATGGGGCTTGACATGTCATTATTCAATTTGACAATCTGTTGGCGACCATGCAAATACGACTTAATCCACTTGAGTAATTGTTGATTCAATCCCATAATATCCAATTTGCGAATTAGTAAATCAACATTGACCGAATCGAAGGCCTTCGCAATATCCAAGTAAATTGCATCAGTTTGTATTCCGTTCTCCATACCCAATATTGCACCAGATGTAAATTCAGTCAAATTCGTAGTTGTAGATTTTCCTTTCACGAATCCATGTTGACTGTCATCAACGATATTTTTCATATGATGATTGAGGTGTTTGGCAACTATGGAGTCAAGCAGCTTTGGTATTACACACTGCAGGGCGACGCCACGATAGTTTTCAACTTTTGTTTTAACACCACTTTTGTGAACCGGTCTCACGAAAGATTGTTTCCAAATCTCAGGAACAATACCAGTCTCCAACGATTGCTTGAGCATGTGCGTGATAGGCTTCAGTAGTGCTGGCATGCACTTTTTGATGAGAATATTTGGTATTCCGTCAGGTCCTGATACCATGTTGCTTGGAAGATCATTAATCGCATCCATAATTAAATCCTCTGTGATGTCAATCGTAGGAAAATTAGCACATAAATCTCCTATCAATGGTTCATCTTCACAATAAACATCAGTTATGCTAACATCTGGTTCAGTATACGATTTAGCAAAATGTGTTGCAAAAAATTCAGCTATATCACCACGATTACCGCCCTTTATGTCTCCAAACACCATTTCATTTGGAATGTCATCATGCCTTTTTTTGGAATTATTTACAGATTCGAAAAATCTCTGTGGGTCCTCGTTAATAAGTTGTTCCATTTCAAGTTTGTAATTTTTATAAGCCAAACGTGCGCTCTTTTTGTACTCTTTTCTTAGTTCTGAGTGTTCTTTCTTTGCGTGTTTTCTAGCTTCAGCAGTTCGCCTGGATCTCATAAATTTGTACTTCGTATTGAGCCTATTTTTCATGTTAACGAGGTCATGACAAAACCATTTTGGATGGCTTGATAATTTCTTTTTTTTCATTTCAACATTCAATGAAATTAATGAATCATCAATCCGTAAAATTTGGTAATTTGAGAATCCAAGTTTTCGACAGAAAAAAAGTGCGTCCAATCAATGTTGTTAAGCCTCTCATTCAAATTGTCGTAGTTGGCATTTGCAAAATCGCGGTAACTAAAATCGTTAGTTGGCTTGCTCTGGTCGCACTCAATATCACCAATATTTATTGCTTACGATCGATGGTGTGATTCCTTTTTCAACAGACGATAGTTATTTTTCGAGCAGTTTACAGTGTCCGTACAGTTTGTCCACACCAGGTCAAGCATTGCACCATTTTTGTTCCCAATCTTGTTAATCTGAACAACCCATATCTGTACAGACCCATTTCGTGCATTGAGTCCAAAACGATAATTTCCTTTTCCAAGGATGCATTCAATGGAATAGCAACGTCAGAATCTTCATTTTCATCAGTGTACCATTTCAAGTTCGACAAATTAAAATCTCCAGAAATTATCAAAATATCTTCGGACTTCAATTTTTCTACTACTTCACGTATTGAATTCATATTCGCCTCATAAACCGCGACAGGAGAATCAGGACGTATGTACAATTCAATTAGAAAAACATTCCTGTTTTTCAATGGCAGGATAATGCAAACTTGTTCAGCGCCATACTGCTCACCTGTGCTGATGAGTTCCGATTTCATAGTCCTATCAACAGCAATCAGTACACCTCCACCCCTTGTTTTAGTTTTCTTTTGTTTTGATTCAGTTTCAATCGAACGGTCACAGCGATACACAGTAAAATTTGGAGGAAAAACTTCTGAAGAATCAATTGTGTCGTCAAGACGAGTCTCACAAAGCATAAATATTGCTGAATCAGAAGCAATTACGTCAGCGGTAAACTCAGCAAGTCTAGATCTCACTCCATTTATATTTTGTGTGTGTATTTTTTTATTTAATTTATGTAGATGTGGGCGATGAAAATTACTCGTAGATTGATTGTTCAAAAATGTTGAGGCGTACCGTTCAAAAGTGGTACTCCGTAAATTTGGTGTTGATACTGGTTGGTATGGTAATTCTGCTGCGGATCGCTCCAATGTTGTGGTAAAAAAGACGATGACTGCTGATGTGGTCTCATTATTTGGTTGTATTGTGCAAAATGACTTTGATGTAAATTATCTGGGACACCGTATTGGTATCTACCATCGACTCGGTAGTTCAAATTCATGTTTTGGTCGCTATTTTGAAAAAAATGACTATTATTGTAACCATTCGAGTAGCCAAAATTGTTATTACATCTGAAATTATTCGGCCGTTCAACAAATCGGCCATATCTTCGACGTGACCGTTGGAAATTTCCGTTCCAATTCCGATGATATTGTTGTGATCGATGATTGTTGCTGTATTTGCTTCTCGATGGCACTGAATTTGGCCTTTGACTGTAATCATTTTGGTTTAAACGTTGATGCCGATGATTGTTTTGACTTAAACGTTGACGATTTTGTCTGGCTCTCTCTTTCTGAAATACTCTAACTACATAATCAGGTGCTCATATTTCATTATTCATGATTTTATTATATATCGATTGGTTCAGAGTCGAGATTTTGAACGCCAAATGCTGTCTCGGTTGTTTTT